CCACTCTTCTGTCTCTATATCCTACATGAAAGATACACAGATTAATGCTACAATGCCATGTAGTGATATATCCACTCTTCTGTCTCTTAAGTCCTAGACAGAAGAAATACAGACAAATGTTATAATGTCATAGTGATATATCCACTCTTCTGTCTCTACATCCTACATGAAAGATACACAGATTAATGCTACAATGCCATGTAGTGATATATCCATTCTTCTGTCTCTAATGTCCTAGATGGAAGAAATACAGACAAATGCTAAATATCATAGTGATATATCCACTCTTCTGTCTATGTCCTAGATGAAAGATAAGCAGATTAATGCTACAATGCCTACAGTGATATATCCACTTTTCTGTCTCTACTTTCTAGATGGAATATATGCAGATTAATGCCATACAGTGATATACCTACTCTTCTGTCTTGACATTCTCAATGGATAATATATCATGTAGATTTCAACATTATTTTTGTGAAATTATCTGTCATCAAAAGATATACTAATGTATGTAATCACAGAAACAAATATAAAAGAAATTACTAGACACTTTGGTATCTAATCTATATAAAAGCCAGTGTGTCACGTCACGCTTGATTTCTCTTTTATATTCAATAGCAGTACTATACAAGTGAAATGTCAAACAGACATGATAATCACACTCCTGTTTGCAATATATCAATTTTAATCAAGGAACAAATTATAACCTAAAATAGTACGATTAAATATACATTGTTTTCTCAGATATTAACACAAAGTAACTGGTAGGAGTCAATGAACTTGACACGAAGGTTAAAACATTTTTAATAACATAACACAAGAGTAAATGCTGTTAAACTTACTGTTTTATATTTGTATAACATCTGATCCTCAACTGTTTTGTTAATCAAAAAGAAATTATGTGAAGAAAAAATGATACAATTAAATTAAGAACATAATACTATACCCAAGTTTTTAATGCATGTAACCTTTCACTTATAGAAAGTGTCTTGAACACTACATCACATACATAGAATAGTTAAATTTACCTGAAATATGTAAATTTAACTTGATACATGCATGCTTGATTGATTCAGAGGTCTTATGTAAATACATATGCAATGTAAGGATGACATGTCACACAATGCTCATTATTAAAGCTGTTATAACAAACCACTATACAATGTTTTATTTTTTTGCTGGAGTGTGGTAAGCATGTATATTTATTAATCTCTTTTTGATTTAGATAACTAAGTACTCTGTTTATACCCTCAATGTTTCAAAATATGTAAATACATAAGCAGGCATAAAATGAAACGATTGTGAACACAGTACCTTCACATCAATTAAAAAATAAAAGATCTACCTTTCCTGTTACTCCAATACAGTCTGTGTCATCATATCCTGGATTTACATTAATTCCAATTCGAGACAGCTCCTAGAATAAAAAAAAGTTTTTTTTTATTTGTAAAACTTAGTAACTTGAAATAGACTATGAATTGATCATCTACCTTTTTTATATTGATATATTTAAGAGTCTGTGTAATTTGATAGAGTTAATAACCATTTTAGGTTATTTAGAGCAACCTGCTTTACTTTCAACCAGTCAGGGATATGAAAAGAGTTCTAAACAACTTCACTTTAAAACAAAGAAACTTCTTCTAACTTAATAAGCCAACCTTTAAGTGTTTCAAAAAATGAAATTATTTTATCTTTGCTGCTGGATTTTCTATACTTTTTGCTTTTAAGAGAAATATGAAATATTGAAGTTTTGGATATGTCACAGAGAATACTAATAATCTGAATGATGTCTTTAAGTAATGCAACTTTGCATATATAAATATTACACAGTGCAAGCTTTTCTGTTGATTTTGAAGTTAAATGTTATTAAATATTAAACAATATTTCATTCAATGCAGATGTTTAAAGAAGAACCAACATTTAATGATACACAATAAATATTTAAAAATAATATATATTTTTAAACATTTATTTAAAATTTACACAAGTGTCATTTTAATCTTAGTAACACTGAGACTGTTCATTTACACATGTAAAATTGAAAATGCTTCTCATAATTCTCTTCAAAAGTAGTTCCATATGCATTATTATTTTTTCATTAGTTTTGTGTCCATTTCAAAGTCTGACCTTGATGTGAACTAAAACGCTGTTATTAAATTTCAAGGCTAAACTAAAAAGAAGACATAGAGGAGGGTGAACATCACTTAGTGGTCTAAAATACTGTATTTACATATATAAAGCTTTTATACCTTTACTACTGCCTGTGGTAGCATCCACTTATTGCACAATTCTGGAAAAATACTTTTTTCACCATGTTGTAAATGAACAATCTTACAAAAAGAGTTTAGAATTTCAAACTCAAGTAGAACTGCTGCTCCTGTTATTGATAGGCTTACAGAGTTTGGTGACTTCCCTGGCTTTAGCTCCCAGGACTAAAGGAATAACATTGATATAAAATTTCATTTTCAATTTTAAAATGGCTATAACGTACAAGATTTTAAAATATACAAAAATGTGTCTAACATTTAAAAACAATTAGCAAAATATCTTTTAATGCATTTTTAATAAATAGATATGTTGTTAGAAAACAAAATGACATCATATCAACACTATACTTGCTTAAACTTATATGAAACAAATATGCTTATAACTTTCAATATTAAAATCATGATTAAAATAAAAAGACTAACTTGCTTCTCTAAGTATGAATTTCAGCATGATATTAAGAAAGAAAAACTATAATAATGCAATATATATATATATATTATTAGCTTTAAGACCAATTTTGATATTAATGGATCTTCTGTAAAATGGTAAAAAATATCACAATACTATCAGAATCAAGTATTTCATCGAAACAAAAAGCACAAAAATGGTTAAAAGCGGCAGTTAAAAAGAGAGAAAATGTAGTAAATTTTGAACTAAACAACTTTATTTTGGAGGAAAAAAAAAAAGAGCTCCAAAAGTATTTTTTAAATTACTTTTGTACTCTTAGTTATTAAGATACTGCAGATAAGTTTTTAGTTTGAATAAAGTTGTTTAAACATTTGTTTAACAACAAGTAAAAGCTTGGAATGGTCTATTCTTTCATTTGGGTGTGTGCCAGTGAGCCAGACTAGTTTCGGAGAATTACACTCCTTTTCAGTGACCCTGGACACTTAAATACACGATTTCATGTTTTTAGTTTGTTTATAGCTTCCAAAGAGATATCTATTACAAACTGATATTTTATGACTAGTAAACAACACAATGCAATTGTTCCTTGGGAGTGAATAAGATTTCACTGAGTTATAGCAATTTTAGACAAATGATAAAAGTATAGATACTCTTGTAACAACATTCATGTTCATTCTGTTTTTTATGGTAACATTCCACATGCTTATTGTGTTCAAGCTAAAGTTTGTGTAAGATATAGATTTCAATATTAATTCTTTTAGTTTAAAATCATTGACATTTGCACTTTAGCTACTACTTAGATCCCAATTATATATTTATACGAGTTAAAAGCTTTCTCTAAACAAATTTTTTAATGTATGTAGGGCTTTTTGAGTCACTTTTGTAACTTATCATATAGAAACCTAAATTAATTTAGGTTTGTGAATAATATGTTATTGTGCTTAATTTATCATTCAAAGTTATAATGGTTATATTACAGATTTCTTTTCATTTCAACAAAGGTAAAAAATAGAATCTGTGATGCAGAGGCATAATGCATTTTTGGATTTGCTTCACCCTCTGCTGTGGACTGTAGTTTTGTCTATTTGAGGCTTATCAGTACATCTTAGGCTAAAAACCAAAGAAATACAGTTAGGCCTCTTATAATGTTGATGCGTATATCACATTTATGGGGTTTCTGAGTCCTTTCGAATTCACCATATAGTAGCCTAAATTAATTTAGGTGTTTGAATAATATTACAGCAATATTATAGAGTGGACCAACTGCTTAATGAGTTCAATAAACAGCTGGTCTTCTATATCAAGACACACAGTAGTGTGTCATACAGCCAAAACGACCTGCTGCAGGACACAGTGTGTTATTAACAGGAGTGATAGTTTAGTTATTTTTCACCTTCTGTATCTCTAACTGTGGTAATCCAAACTACCATATATTTTCAGTAGATGTGCTCCACTGGACTCTTACTTCACATACCAGATTTCAAGGCAATCCATTAAGAAACACCTGATATATAAAATCTCCAATTTTGATTGAGTTTCTTCCTATTTTTTTTTTCTTTGCACCAAAAGTACAGAAACTTTATTTGACAGAAACACATACTTAACTTTTATGGATTTTTTTCAAATTTGGTACACTGATAGATCTTTTCAACCTACAATTAGGAGTCTCATTTGGTGTAAATATAGGCCACACATGCAAAATTATTCAACAAAGACCACTCAAATTTGATAAAAATTCTTGCACATACTTATGCAAAAAGGCCTGTGAGCTATCGGTCTAGCATTTTTACTTCAGCTTCAAGTAAGAGTAAAAGTGGACCATTTTTAACTTTTTGGCATTCGATTTTAAGGTGACTGATTTAGAGAAGCAAAACTATAAGGTGAAAGGACATGCAGATATATAAGTATTAGTTAGACCAAACAAACTAGATTAGCAGTGTTTAACTCAAGTTTTCAAAAGAATCATAAGAGTGGACAATTATTATTGATTATTTATTGACAACTTTTCAGCACAAATTTGCTAAATTTTATAAAATTATCTCAAATAAAAAGTGTTTAGCATCACACAATGTTAGCTTAAGCAATTAGCATAAATAATGATGCTTGATATGGCTGTATCAATTGCATGGGGGTGATGACAAGAAACTGTTAATCTAAATTCCATGGTGTTACTATAA